TTTTCTTTTTCTGATCAACAGTTTTGAAAAAAGTGCATTCACATTAACATTCTGGTCTGCAACCAAGTATAACAAAACACTCTTAAAATAGAAAAATAACAATAGCAGCAGGATCCAGTATATCAAAAATTCACTTCACTGCCAAGAAAATATTGACTTCAATCATTTAACTGAATCTCAGGGCCTGTGCAACTCCATAGATCTTAATTGCTCGTGAAGACTTTCCCCAAAAGAACATCTTCTGTTTCCCATGATGAATCTGGAAGCCAGCAAGTTTTTGGTGTTCAGCTTATCAAACCTCGCCCCCTGCTTCCCATCCCTGCCCCATAGCTCTAATGAAGCAAACAAACCCAGGGGTGGACATAAGAATCTTGCCAAGTTAAAATAATTAATTTCTTTCAATTCTGAAGCTTCAGTGAAAAGATAAATCAGCAATCCAGCAGCACATAACATTTCAAGCTTTACTACAGTCTAGTACAAATGAGTTTCTTATTCTCACCAACAGGGTGGGTGGCATGGACAATGAACAGGAAATTCTGCAACAGCCTTTAAAGAATGATTGGGTCTGATTGTCTGGAGCAACATGTTTAGTGCCCCATGTTTCTGTGATTTTTATTTTTTTTTTTCACTTTTACATATTTTGGTTCCTCATTTTATCTGCAACAACTGCAATAACTTGAAGTAACCAGCCAAGATCTACCCAAGTGCTTTTCCCCTGCTGACATTTTCAGGACAATTCTCAAGATACTCATCACTAACATCATCTCTAACAGCAGCAGCTGAGCATGTTTCAGGACTGACCCTGTGGGCTCTCAGGATAGGGCAGCTTGTGATACAAGGGGACTGCCAGGTGCCATTTAGTGGCAGTGCTTTGGGGGCTGCTCTACCTCTTTCCTATGAGAAGCAACATATTCAGAGGAAAAGCAATTCCAGTTGAAGTGAAGGGTCAAGGCCAACAAGAAGGCTCTACCCAAAGGTTTTTTGCATCTTGATCAACTTGCCATGCAGAAAAAATAGCCCAGCATCCTCTCCAGTGTGCCTTCTGGGTTTTTTTGTGCATCTCACTCTATGAGAAATTGCTGTACAGTCAGCAAGGATAAGAGTCAAGTGGTTTGGTGACTTCAGTGGAGCCAGACCTTCAGTTACATAGGTAAGAATGATGGTCAAGCACTTAAATACATGCGTCACTTGAAACATGAATAGTCCTGACACAGAAGTTCAAGTTTTGCTTAAGGACTTTGCTGATACATAGCCCACAAAAACCCAATTACAGAGGCACCTTGAAAAACCTGTGCAAGCCCTGGAGATGACTTTCAAAATGTTTTTAAAAGCGTCAATACTTTGAAAATAAAACTCATGGAGAATTTGAGAGCCTGAGGATATTTTTACAGAAATGTAGTTTGAATGTCTTGAAAACGTCTAATAATTTTGACATGCATCTCAGGTTCTATTGAAAACTTCTTATGAAGTCTGGGTTTAAAGACTGCAGGTTATAAAGAGCCATCATATTTTTACCAATGAAATTATTAAAAGATGTCTCTTAGTCTAGCCTGAGCTTGAGGTCATTGATTAAACTCTGTACTATTGAAAGACAGGTAAGAAGGTGGAAAAAGCTGGTAGCCTGGGGTTGTGGTCCTAATTGCATGCTTACTCTTGCACTTCTGCAGCTTTTAACTTGATGACATTTTAAATGGAGTGATTAATCGGCCTTTACTTTGTTATTTGCAATGTACACATCTAATGCTGCAGGCCAGCTAAACTAGCCAACATAAATTAGCTACCTTTATTGGCAGGTTTATACCACTAGAGCAGCTGGTCCTCCCTGAATTAATTTGTACTGCAAACAGGAACCAAGCACACAATTTCTTTTACAGTCATATGAAAAATACAAATATTAATATTTTTCACTTGACTTAACTCTCTGTCTAGTTGCGTTTTTCTTAAAACAGGTTCTCCAAATCCAAAGTGACATGAAGCACGGGCCTTACCTCTGAGAGTCCTGCGTGCTCAGACCTTCTCACAGACCAGCACTTGCCATGTGGCACACCAGAGTTTCGCTCATCAGGCTCTGTGCTGCTTGCCATGGGAAGGAGCTTGGCATCACCGGGGTTTTTTTTCAGGTACATCTGCAGATGCGGGGCTTGTGCAGCAGATGAAGAAGCTTGCCATTGCCTGGGCCTGCCAGGTCCTTTAATAGAAGTGGCACACAGGAAAGAACGTTCTCTAGTTATGTAAAATTAATTTTTTAAAACTCTTTAGCATTAATTCTTTACCTCATTCCATTGCAATGAGGTAAGAGGGGGAACAGGCCAAGGAAGAAGGAGAGATAAAAAAGACTTTCTGGTTTTGAAGTGAGATTTAGGGTCAAAGTTCCCAAGCCAGTATGAGCACCATCAACACTGCGCCCAATTTCTGCCTCTGTGGACCATTCATATGGGCCATGAAGGTAAATGCAGCCAAATGAAGTTACTGATTTTCCATCTATGTGTGAAGAAACACCAAACACCAGCTACTCAGCTCACTGTAGGAGCCCAGCAAGAACCCAACCTCTGCTTCATGGTTGAGGAAGGGCGACCAAAATGGGAGGACCTGGCCTCCTGGTTAGGGGAATGACATGTGCACAGAAAGGGCTTGGGAGAGAATGGAGAGCTGCAATGTAAGCACAGGGCCTGGTAAGGATCACATTTTCGGATCCCTGTTAGTGATGAAGTTAATGCTCCAGAGCTCGAGTGTTTAAGGGAGACTGGAAATGTCTGGGACATGGTATGAAACCAGTGTGAGAATCAACATGTTTGATTGGAATGCTTAGCTTAAAATCCTGGCTCCCAATTTAAGGTATTAAGGTGCCCAAGTCAGGTACAGTCAAACATACCCAAAGACATTTAAATCTAACCTGACGATAATAAGGCTCCAGTGGCTTAAAACTTTTACCCTAACTTTTGTTGTCACTGAAATGAAAATAATAATAAAAATACTCTCAACCTTAAAATTATTCATTTTCTTTTTTTTTTTTTCTTTGTTCAATTAGAAATGCTTATTGTACCACACTAAGCTAAGTAATGAAACCAAATTATCTTTATACATCATATTAAATGTAAAACATTACTGGAGAAACTTATTTACTGTAAGGGTGATAGAGAACAGGAACAGGCTGCCCAGAGAGGCTGTGGAGTCTCCTTCTCTGGAGACATTCAAAACTCACCTGGATGCGTTTCTGTGTGGCCTGCCCTAGGTGATCCTGCTTTGGTGGGGGGGTTGGATTAGGTGATCTCTAGAGGTCCCTTCCAACCCCTAAGATTCTATAATTCTATGAAATAATAATGTCACCAGTGTTGTTAGTTTAGATTTTAATAATTATTTTCTACAACACAAAATAGTTTGATTACCAACACCTACCAGTGGTCAATGATGGTAACTCACAAATAATGTGTCACTTTCCTAACAAATGGCACACAAAACTTACCTTTTATTATGCTTTTTAATAACTGGAAGTTGTTCAATTCTGACTGTTATACAACCAATTATACATTAAAATGTACAAATACTCAATTCCAGTCACAGCGTATATATATATTTTTGGATCCGCAGCAATATAAAATGGGTTCTACCTGTATATACATGTGCAAGTCTGAATGAGTCCTGAGTAATTTTAAAGTACGGTTAGTTTAATCCTGCAAATTCCAACCAATGCAAATAAAACTCAAGATTTACAGCATGATGTTACTGTGAAGAAGCTATTTAAAAAAGAAAAAAAAAAAAAGAAATCCAGCACTTTGCATTAGCTTTATGCATAGCTCTGAGGTCTGTACAGTGCACAGTACCCACTTCCAGTCTGGGTAATTAGAAAATCTGAAAAGACACTGACCGCATTCTTCAGTAACTATTGCTTCCTCTGCTTCTTAATTAATGGAGTGTGATTCGTTCTGCTTCAAAACAACCAAGTGTGGAAGACTTATACAGGGTTTAAATTATATTCTTTCTGCTGCATATATTTTTGTAAACATTCAAGTCACCCAGGCCCTTTTCTTCTGAGGAAACTATACAATTATACAGTTAAATAGTTAAAATGTATCTGGGAGGAAAAAAAACAACAGTGGAGTATGAGCATTACCTTAAATGCCACAGTATGCTGTTAAGGAAATGAAAGGGGAAGTGTTCTTGAAGGAACAGCTTGGACAGAAACCGAAAGGCTGCTCAAAAACCTTCTGTCAGCATGACACACTGCATGGTAAACACAAGAGAGATGCTCTCGCACCACCAAGAACAAATTGTCTGAGCAAATGGGCAGGACGCACTCCCACTAAGGAGTGGATCCAAACTCAGCACAAGAGTCAGAATCTTTGTACAGTATTAACAGAGAAACTTAAGACAAAAATGTCTGTTTACCCGATGCCAGGAAAATGCAGGCACTAATAAGAGAGCTGGTAAAGGGGACAGGCTAGCAGTGCGGTGTAGCTGTCTCTAACTTCTGTCGGTTTTGATGTGACTTCCCAGGTACGGAGGAAGATACCTTTGTTCTTCCCCTCATTTCTCTTGCACTGCAAAAGTGAAGGCACTTCTTCAACTGTGTTCCTCTGGGCATGAGGGTCCTGGCCCAAAAGTTAGCTGGTCCCATGGCTGCTATAGTCAAAAACGCCTTTCCTGAAGAAGGGTGAGAATTCGCAAATGGTGTGTTTTGACAGAGTTAGCCCCACTTTATCAATGTGCAGCGGAGATGATGGAGATTTCAGCATTGCAGAGAAAAAGCTCCTGAGGTACTTCTGTGGAACAAAATGCAAAATGGCATAAGGTTTACTTCATCAATTGATTAGGACTACTTTAAAGAATTAAATGAATAGTGGTATAGGATCTCCATGGACTCCACGAAAAGTCCTTTTAATGACCATCAGCATTTAAATCCATCTGTTAAACACATCTACTGAAAGTCTGCATTAAGCTCAGGAGAGGCAGAAAATAAGTATTTTTCCCTTTCTTCCCCTGCCAAGCTTAGCAACTGTTTTGGTCTGTGCTTGTGTGATGCTTTCTAGTTTATTCTGTAGTCATATAATGCTTTCTGCTGCTCATGACCTGCTAATACTGCTGTCTAGCACTGCCAAACACTATAGCAGGTGCAAACCTCAAATCCATTGGGCAGAAATGTCACTACATATGGATGCAAAAGTCCTTAAGAATTTTTTTCCTCATCAAGCCTCCACAATCCTTGCACTAAAAAGGATTTATTTTGACCAAGCCCATCTGCACAAAGATCGCACAACTTCCATGTTATCTCAGATCTTAAGAGCATCTTGTCACTGAAGTGACACCTAAATATATATTTCTAAGGTCTAACCTAAAAGAAGTATTTCCTTTCCCAAAAGTTAGTATTTACCAGCAGCTGTGCAACTTGCATCCACTTGCACCTAGAGAAATTGTGACAGATGTACATTAACACAAAGTCAGTTTTCACAAACCTGATGGTGTTCCTTTCACATACAGGTTGAATGATGACAATCATTTAGCATGATTTAGTAAGTTATATTTAGAAGTTTTGAGTGAAACACAGTAGGTAAAATGTTCACCAGACAGATGCTAAAAAAAGTGCCCACTGTCATCCAAACAGTTATAAGACAAATCTCATATGGAACACAGGGATAAATTCCTTTGTTCTACTACAGACTGCTCACACAAAAAGATAACTCAATAAATTATTCACTGATCTTGGATGCAGTGAGAAATACATCTGCAAGACAGAACAGCACAATCTCCTATGAAGAGCACAAGGTTTAGTTATTTGAATGCAGCAGCTTTTGGGTCATGAAAGTGGTTTCATGTTCAGAAAGTAGTCCTAATTATTCATTCCCTTCTCAAGGAGAATTCCTCCATAGTGTAACAACCTGTTATCTATTTAAGTACCTTGGAAAGCAGCTGTATTAATACCACAGAAAGCAGGATAACAAAACAACAACAAAAAAAACAGCTGGCACATAAGCTATTCACTTGGCAGGATTGGTGAATCTTCTTTTTTATTCAGATCTCCCACAGGTTGTATTAATGCTCATGAAAAAAAATTCATTACAGAAATGCCTTCAAGATGAATTCCAACAGACTAAGAGGTAATTTAAAGTGAGCAACAGATGTCATATCAACATTTATCATAATTAGTTCACCAAATAGGGCCCTTTAAAAGAAGTCCCAATCCAGTAATGCCTGAAGGATTAATATGGTAGAAAATAAAATGTAAAACATGGCATCCTGTTAAGAGTTTTCACACTAAGCTGAAAAGTTACTGCAGTAATTCCAGTTTATGGCTACTGAAGGCTCAAAGGTACCCAAATATCTCACCAGAGACACTGCAAGACCTATTGCATTCACCTTGATATGTATGGCCAGATAATTGACCGTCATGCCTTTCCTGTAGAGCCATTATTCATTGTTTTGGCATGATAGTTCTAATGACAGAGATAGAAAAAAAACCAACACCCTCTGCTATATGCATACACTTACCTGACAGGGAAACACTAGGAAAAAAAGATACAGTTATTCTTCCAGATCTGCACAAACAAGCTGCTCAGTGAACATCACAGATTCTTTGAACATGAAAAAGATTCTTGGGAAAATGGCAACAAGCAGACTTTACCAGAATACAATGGTATTAATTTTGTATGAAGGTTTCCAGCCATATGGCTTGGCATGATGTGCTCTTCTACAACCACCTCCGAGCAAATTAGCCCTCTTTTAAATCCCATATCTGCATTTGCCCTTGTTTGCAATGCTGATGTGTTAGCATAGCACAGAGCTGACATGCCCTTGACAGAAAGAAGCTGTTGCTTCAATGAAATAAAGGCTCCTCTGCCCAGATACGCTGGCTAGGAGTTAAGTCCTGTAGTGAGGGAAATAGTGATTGATGGCAGAAGTGTTTGCTCACACCACAAGCACATGCCTCAATTAAAGAGGTGTGGCTGGGCAGTAAGGGGGAAGGCTGCAATGTGGATGACGAAGTGGAAGAAAGTGGTAGGAGAAAAGGAGGAGTGCTCCATATTGGTGGGTGGAAAGATGCTTCTCAAATTCAGATGCGATAGAGAGAGGATGAAGGTTACAGCAAGCTGGGAGAGGAGCAAGAGCACATCAATGCCAAGTGCCAGAGATGACAAAAAGAAAACTTGCTAAGAGATCCAGAAGGGACTTGGTTTTGCTGCAACCCAGGAAGCCACTGTAAACTGCTGAAGTGGGAGCAAGGCTATATGAAAAGGTCTCCTCTGTCAGGACTTGGCGAGCAGGGGAGAGATCTCTTTTCAAAGCTTTTTTATTAAATCCATTTCCAGCAGAAGATATTATTTTAGTCTATTTACAGAATAATGTTATTTGAGCTGAGTTAATATGAGGTGGGAAGCAAACTGGTATCTTTTGATGTGCTTCCTTAAAAAAAAAATAAAATTCTCAGCAGGCACTGGCAAGCTCAGAATGCCTTCATAAAAACATATCCAAATTTTATCTAAACCAGTGCTACTGGTACTTCCTACCAGCAATTCACTGATAGCATCTAAATCATTGACCCTAGTAGGCAAAGCACTACATTATAGCAATTTTAATTTTGCTAGCTTTGTGTGATTACCTTGGAAAGAAAAAACTAGACAACTGCTATAAATATTCTAAAAGGCTCAGTTTTATTACTCGTTTTCATTTGTTAGCCTTGCAAAACTCAAGCCATTTGTTCTGGATTATTTAGTCTGGTAATCAGTGTTCTTCCAAATGCACTTAGGAGTTTTATTTCACTAACAGTGTTCAACTTGCTGCGCTCCTGGTGTGCTGGAAAAGATCCTAATTATAAATTTGTCAATGTCTTAGTGTAAGGGCACAGGACCCTGGCACTGTAACAGGGATGTAAAATGGGCAACTTTCAAACCAATTGTGTTGGTTCCTCAGTTTAAACACACATTCAGTAGCACTGGTACAGAAAATGGAAATACTCTTTGACATGTACAACACTCTTAAAGACTGAAAGCCAGGTTTACAAAAATCCAAAATAGGAAAAGCAGTGGTTTTGCCCTCTTGGCACACATTACAACCTTCATGGACTTGAACTTAAAATTTATGGCAGTCATACCCACAAGCTTTACCTTTGTATTTGAAGTGTTTGCAACAGAAACAAGACTGGAGAAAGTGTTGTGAGACCCAAAGGTTTTTCTTTACTTACCAGTTTGAGTAGCTTTCCCTCCCTTTAAATTATGTGAACAGTAAAAAAGACAACAATTTTAAAAGATCATTAAAAATAATTCTAATAGGGTTCACCTTTTTTAGCAGTAGGCCAGCATTCATCTCGTGCTCAATCCATCAGCACAGCAAAGTCATTTTAATGATTTTTGCACAACTTTGTGATGTGGAGACCTCATAATTTTATACATTTTAATATAAATCCATAACTTAATTTAAAGTTATTACAGTTATTACAATCAAAAAGCTTTCTGGAATGTGAAAGTGTTCTTATTATCCTTTCAGATGTGGCATATTAAAGAGGAATTCAGTTTGATGACATTGTTCTAATATTGTATTACAAACGTGACAGCCTCAGAGACCAACAGTGGAGCTTAGCAAGAGTTGGACTCTTCATTAAACTCTGCTGTGTTTAAACTTCCAGAAAGTGAAGCAACTTTGAGCTTTCTCTCTTACATTGCTGTTTCTAGAAATTTCTTCAAAAATTCACCATTGTAAATTCTTTAAATATAACACTTTACACTTAGCATAACAAATACCACTTTATAATAATTTGACAGAGCTGAAAGAACCACAGACTTTAATAGGATAAACCTTACAAGGCTTTAGGGATTTTTAAAACAATAGCCTCTTTTCTTTGAAACAATATCCCCCTTTCAACACTTACACATCAATGTGACCCTCAAAAGCTTTACCACGAGGTCACAAAAGGTCACCAGTGACAGAGGTGGGACTAATTAACTTGCTCCTCTAACTTAAAGCACTGGCTCCTCTCTCCCTTCAACACAGATGCTAGTGTCTCCCAGCACCGATCCCATAATTATTCTGTTGACTAGTGTTAAGTGCTGCAAGCTTTAACTCAAATAGTGTTTTGAATTATCCACAGAGCAAAGCATATGCAGGTATCAACAGCTGTTTTCTGTAAGATAGGAATATGACTACAAAGACGTAGAATTAAGCATATTCTCTCACACTGAAAAACCACATTATGCTGCAATTAGATATCTGGAAAGTAAGATCTTCCCAAGGAAGACTCTAGCCCAAAACAAGCAGATAGGAACATGCTTCACTTCTAATCTGTGATCACAAAAATAAGCATCTGCTTAGAAGACAACACATGCAAAAGGAGCCTGCTGCAATGCAGAAATGGGAGTGCATCTCCTGCCTCTGTCTCCTAGATAGAAATTGTTTGGCATATGTAAAGGAAAATGTACATTTGGGGATCCTCTCCCAAAGTAACCAACTTTATGTTGGACCTTTCCACTGGTGTCTCAAAGAGGAAAAAATAAATATTTTCGGGGTGGTTTATCAAATCCAAAATGCTACAGAAACACCAGCTATCATCACTAACTACAGTCTACAAAAAAAAAAAGCCTGCCCTGCACTGGCAGAAGTTGGTGTCCCACAAAGGCTTCAGGCTGGCAAAGGACCCTGTCTGGAGTGATGTTATATATTCCATGGCTTTTAAAGAAATGTTCTTACTGGCAAAAGTCAGCGGGGATTAACACAACGTAGGGAAGGTAAGCTGGTGCTACAGGCTGTGGCCTCACAGGGACACTGCAGATCACAG